AGTAGGAACCTACCTGCCTCTTTCCTTGTCTTGACCGATCCCGTAGAATAGCTGAATAATTCAAAGATAAACCGGTCAAGATTTATTAAGAGACGTCACGCTCGGGCATTGGATGACGGCACAATGCTTATTAATAAACTAGAACGCGAGGAGTATTAAATATCAGAATGAAATTCCATCGGGACCGGCGCGCGTGCCTGCGAATATGCCTCCTTACATTATTATCCCCGGGGACGGCTATACTGCGTATTTTATTAGGGGGATTAATTATAAACCTAGTAACATATTAAAAAAAGGAAAGAAATATAGAGTCGTTGACTCCAACGGGGTCGCGCGGTGCATCAAGATAATCTTGCGCGATTGTAATGGGAATATTTATTTCCTTCGCGACGTGAACTTTGCAGTCGGGGAAATGAATTCTCCGCCGCAAGACAGTCGAAACAATGATAATTACGGCGTTTCATTCAGTATGTGCGGGTGCGTACGTGCGCGCGCTAAGAGCTTTATGACTTTCGTACAATCGTACAAATCGTACAATTACTTATTAACGAAGATACGAAACGCTGTACATTAAAGAGGAAGAGGGAGAAACTGTAGGGAGAGCATAAGCGTATCCAGGGGGGATCTAACTCTCCCCCTGGAAAAGAAAAGTTAAAGTAAAGTTAAAGTTATGATTTACAAAATCTAGTATTTTCCTCATTCAAAATCAGGAGATATTCTAAAATATCCAAAAAAAAAAAGCAATTCACTATCGCTATAAAAAAATACTGCTTATATATTAAGAGAATTGATAAAAACTTTCTGTGAAAAAAATTCTAGACACGCCCATGAGACGGAGAGACTATGATCGAGCTAACGGGCGCCATGAAAAATTCACCCCGCGCAATTCCGTAGTACTTTACGATACTCAACAAAATCGATATAATTGCGCGCTAAACGTTAGTTAGCCGAGGCTCACGGCGTCCCACGGTCAATAAAGGCCACTCGTCGAGCTAACGCGCGCGCATCAGAAAATTCGCACGGATTAAGATTAGAGATACAATCGGGCGGTAGTTGCTAATGGTTTATTACGCGCTGTCCGCGCATCCCGCAGTCTCGCAGATGCCTGCTCCTCCTGAGCCATGAAAATGACTCGGCTGTTCAGCCTCCACTCCGAGGGCAGCGTTACTCGGTCATGCCTGTCAACGATCCGACAATCGATATCGCGCGCATCGATCGGCACGCCGGTCGCGCCGAGCTGAGTCGAGCTGAACCGGGCCAAATCGAGCCGAGAGCCAGGCCAGACCGAGCCAGACCAGACCAGGCCAGGCCAAGCTGAGCCGAGCCGAGTCAAGCCGAGCCAGCCGAGCCGTTTCCAATTAGGACGCACGCGCTTCGCATTTTTCAGCGGGCGTTTCATATAAAATAAATGTGCTAACTAACCAATTACAGCGAGACAGCCCCTGGGAGACGACCGGTTGCATCGCCGGCGCTCATTAGTGTCACGCTTAAGTGCCGATTGCACCTTCGCCGCGCGATGCGGCGCGGTGCGGCGCGGCGCGGTGCGGCGCGGCGCGGTCCGGCGGCGCGACGGCAGATGCGATGACGATGATGCATCGCGATTCCACGAGCGGCCTCGAGAAAGTCAATATCGCACGCCGGATTCCGCGATTCCGGTCCATCAAGCTGACACATTGCTTGACTCTCCTTTGTGATGCGCCTTTGAAAGAAACTGAAATCATTACTTTTAGAATAGCAGGATCTTACTTTTTAAATAACTTATGACAGGAAAGCTAAATTTCACTCGTATATTATACTTCGCGTAGTATAGAGTATAGAGTAAGAGGGTCGTTCAACGTTCTTCCCGCGCCTCTCTTAAACGACGACATAGCGCGCGTTAGGGAGAAGCTCGGAAAACACGAATTTTCAATTTAAGTTCCCGCGTTTCGCTTTCGGAATGTGACGGCGTAAAGGGACAATCGCCGAAGAATCCCTGGCCGCGCGCGAAACAAACGCGCCCGATTACGATTCCCGCGGCCGACCTTGCGGGTCCATAAAAGTGCATAATCGCGCATCTCGCATCAGCGTGGCAGCGTTTCCCTTGATCCTGGTTCTCCGTGCGCGCGGTTACACGAGGGGCGGTGGAGGAGGAGGAGGAGGAGAAGGAGGGCGGGGAGCTTTGTTTTCTCAGTGCAGCGGAGCCACACCCTGGCTACATGCACA